GTTGTGGGGATTGGGCCTCGCTAGGTGCAATGGCTCGAGTCAAAACACCGCTCTCTCACGCGCCCTCCCCCACCGCGAAGCGCACGAACCCGGTGCACTCGACAGGCGCACCGAGCCGCTTGCCAGCTGCCTCGAGCGCCTTCTTGACCGGCGCGCCCTTCTCGTCTACGACGAAGGCCTGCTCCAGGAGCGCCACCTCCTTGAAGTACTTGTTGAGCCGCCCCTCGACCATCTTTTCGACGACGTCGGCCGGCTTGCCGCTCTCCTCCGCCTGCGCGAGCAGGATCTCGCGCTCGCGGGCTATCCGCTCCGCAGGCACTTCGTCGCGAGAGACGGCGAGCGGCGGGCTGGCGACGATGTGCATCGCCAGCTGCTCTCCCAGCGAACGCAGCGCGTCGCGGTCCGCCGCGGCCGACACCAGGCTCACCGCCGCCGCCGTCCGGCCGACACCCGCGCTGTACGCGTTGTGCACATACGATGCGACCACGCCCTCCTCCGGGGCGGGCAGTACGCAAGCTCTGCGCACGACGATATTTTCGCCAAGTTGGGTCATCGCGAGGGCGAGCGCGTCGGCGACGGCGGGCGCGTTCTCCTCCCCCGAGGCCAGAGGCGCCGCGCCGAGCTGTGCGACGTCCACATCGCACGCACCGGCGCCGGCGCCAGCCGAGGAGGCGGGCATGGCGAGGCAGGAGCGAGCGACCGCCGCCGCGAGATCCTGCGGCGAAAGGGAGCGGCAGGGGCGGGTGACGAGCACAAGGCGCGGAGAGGCTCGAGAGCAGTGGTTCCAGCGAAAGAAGGCGCCTGGAAGACAGTGTTGCGAGCAACAAAGTCCGTCTCTGTGTTGACCTCCACGCAGGCGACGCCAGCCGCGTCGGCGGCAAGCACTACAGCGCCGTCGCTGGCCTGCCGGTCCGCCTTCTTGTGCGCGCTCGCCACACCAGCCTTGCGCAGCCACGCGATGGCCTCGTCGAGGTCGCCGCTCGTCGCCTTGAGCGCCTTGACGCACTCCTTCATGGGCGCCGAGGTGCGCTCGCGCATCAGCTTCACCTGATCGGTGGTGTAGCCTGCCGCCATGCAGCGGGCGCGGCCGGCGGCGGCGACTCTGTGTGCGTGAAGCGCGGCGCAGCGCAGGCGATGCATGGTGGCGCGAGTGTTGAAACTTCGCTAGATCTAAGAAAACGAGGGCCAAGTCTTCTCCTGTTGGGCCCTCCCTGTGGGAGACTCGTGCCGCCGCCCCTGCCACCCCTGTGTCAGTGTGCCTGTGGTGCGAGAGACTGCCAGCGACAAGCTGGAGGCAGGTCGCTAGACTGAGATGAGACCGCCAGTGGATGTGGGATTCCACCGCGCACCGCGCTGCGAGCCTGTCGTGTCCCTTGTCAGGAGCAGGAGAGCCCCACCTGTCCCCCTGATCGTCCTTCCAAAATCCTGCTCGTGCAGGTGTGGACCCTGTCCTCGTCCCATCCCTCATTTGGCGTGTCTGTTTTCTTTCTTTCTTTTTTTGGGCCCTCCCCCTGTCGCCTCCCCCAGCCAAGGTGCCGAAGGAACAAACAAGGGCACAACAACACAACAGACAACAGGGGCGAGCGCGTGAGGCTAGAGCAGGCTTGCTCACTGGCAATAAATAACGCCACCACGGAAAAAGTACGTCTGGCAAAATCTTTTGGGCCCGCGCACTCCAAGTCCAAGGGCTCCAAGTCCGTGTCCGCGGTTCTCCATCCCTCCCTTCACTGACCAGCGCTCTACGCTCGTCGACGGCGGCTTCCTCTCCAACCTGCGCCACGCTCGGCGAACCTCGACAGCGCCTTCGGTGGCATGCAGCTCTTTGCGACTGAAGCCTGGAGAGCAGCTCCTCTGCTGCTCACACACTCTGCACAGTTGACACAGCCTACTGTGCGGCTGCCACAGCTGTGACAGCGATGGGCTCGCCCTCACACTGGCCCTCAGACGCTCAGTCACACAGGACACAGTCAACTTCGTGTGCTGCCGCGGCTTGTGTGAGCCTGGTGTGAGCGCGACACTGCTCGGCGACTGCCGGCACCACTGTGAGACCGTGTGTGCGTGTGAGGTAAAACCACGCTACCCCAGCGCTTGGTCACATCAGCCCTGAGGCCAGATCCTTCTATTCTGTTGATGAGACCACACCTGGCGCACAACACTGTCTACTCGCTGGAGCCGAGCACGGGAGGGCCTGGCGCACACGCCCTCGTCTTTAAACGCGTCGGCTTCGTCGACCAAGCCCACGCTGCAATACATCTCACGAAGCCCGAAGCGGCGCCGGCGAGATCAAGAGAGCCTCCCCGGCGGATCGATCGGCGAGCGCGCTGGCGGCGTCAATGGCGCGGGCCAACGCGCCGGCAAAAGCAGCGCACGCTGTGACCGCGAGCATGCGCGGGAGAGCGCTGCAAGCGACGCCGGCGCCGGCAGCGGCCAACCCGAAGCTAGCGCTGCGCCAGCCGCTCGATGAGGGTGGTGGCAGGAGCAGCTGGGCGGCCGCGGCGGCCGCCGCCGCCGCCACGGTCGGCGGCGGCGATGGCGGGTAGATTGGCGGCAAGGCCGAGAGGCACGGCCACGTGCGGCGCAAGTGAAACGCGTCGGCGGCTCGCACAGCGCGTGGCCGGCCTACAGGGTGAATACGCCAACGTCAGGGCGGGAAGACGGTCTTGTGCAGAGTATTCAGAGCGCCGTGTGAACACGAGGGGTACGAATACCATGAGTACAGCCGAATACGGTCGAACACCGCTAAATGCGTGAGTTGGAATGCAAAAAAGCGCAGTCCCGCTTCTAGGGTGTCCGGCAGTCTGACTCGTAGAGCAGCGCGAGCGACTCGAGCTGCTCCTGCTCGAGTCGCGGGGGGGGGGGGGGGGGTTAAGAGGGGGGGGGTGAGGGGGGGGGACCAAGCGGGGAGGAAAGAGGTTAAGGGGGGGCGGGGCCTGAGGGGGCGGAAGGTTACCAAGCGGGGAGGAAAGAAGTTAAGGGGGGGCGGGGCCTGAGGGGGCCGAAGGTGACCAAGCGGGGAAGAAAGGGTGAAAAAAACCGGGGGGGGGGGGCCCCGGCCTAAGGGGTCCGCCCTTCTTTGGGGGGGCTACGGGGTCCTTCCCCGGGGGGGTTTTACACGAGGGAACCATTTTTTTTGGAGGGAAAAAAAAGTCAAACCCGGGGGCGGCATCCGGGGGGGGGGGGGGGTCGGCCCTCTCCACAAAAAGGGGCCCCCCCGGACATAAATCAATCAACCCGTCGGGCAACGTTGCACCTCTTTTTTTCTTTCTCGGACTGGGGGGGAGGGAGATCTCGGCGCATCTCGGTTAATTTGGACCAATTTGGGCCAATTTGGGTTAGTTTGGGCCAATCCCTTTTTTTTTGGGCCGGAAGAGGGGGGGGCCCATTCTCGGGGGGAGCCCCCGGGAAAGAAAGGGGGCGGGGGGGTTGGCACGTGGTGGGCGCGCAGAAATGCAGGTGGCGGGGAGGCCTTCTGCAAGAGCTTCAGCCACAGGCCAGGTTTTTCCCCCCCCCCCTTCCCCCCCCCCCCCCCTCTCTCTCTCTCTCTCTCTCTCTCTCTCTCTCTCTCTCCCTCCCTCTCTCTCTCTCCCTCTCCCTCTCTCTCTCCCTCTCCCTCTCTCTCTCCCTCTCCCTCTCCCTCTCCCCCCCCCCCTCTCTCTCGGACTAGGTGGGAGGGAGAGGAATAGGACGAAAGCGGGGGGATGTAGGTGGGAGGGAGAGAAATAGGACGAAAGCGGGGGATGTAGGTGGGAGGGAGAGAAATAGGACGAGAGCGGGGGGATGTCTGGCGGGAGGGGGCGGCGGCACCGAGCTGCGTCGACCAACGCAGCAGCAGCTGGGCCGGCGAGGCGCCATGCCGCTCCGCGAGAGCGCGAACGAGAGGGTCGCGAGAGCAGCCATCGGCGGCGAAAGGCAGCGTCGTGGCCAACGCCAATCCGGCGTGCGAGAGCGACGCGAGCGACGTGCCGCCGCTGCCGCTTCCGTACGGCGGTCCGATGCCGCAAGGCGAGAGTCGGACAAAGGCGTACGCGGCGGCCGGCCGCGCATCGCCAGCCGTCCCACTCGCGTTCGCGAGTCCCGACGAGGCTGCGGCGCCAACCTAGGGTTGGGGTCGTGGGGTTGTGGGGTTGGGGTTGAGGTTGTGGGTTGGGGTTGGGGTTAGGGTCAGGGGCAGGGTTGGGGTTAGGGTCAGGGTGAGGTTGGGGTCAGGGTTGGGGTTAGGGTCAGGGTGAGGTTGGGGCAGGGTTGGGGGTAGGGTCAGGGTGAGGTTGGGGCAGGGTTGGGGGTAGGGTCAGGGTGAGGTTGGGGCAGGGTTGGGGGTAGGGTCAGGGCGAGGGTGGGGCAGGGTTGGGGGTAGGGTCAGGGTGAGGTTGGGGCAGGGTTGGGGTTAGGGTCAGGGTGAGGGTGGGGCAGGGTTGGGGGTAGGGTCAGGGCGAGGGTGGGGCAGGGTTGGGGGTAGGGTCAGGGTGAGGTTGGGGCAGGGTTGGGGTTAGGGTCAGGGTGAGGGTGGCGAGCGGCCTCGTCCCACTCCTCCTCGGTCAGCTCCGTGTCCGGCGCGGTGTACCCGTCCAAGTAGCCCGTGCCTAGCCCGCAGCCTCCGAGGCTCAGAGCGAGAGAGGGAGAGAGAGAGCCGTTGCACCCCGAACTCGGCGCGCGGCGGGGCCTGACCAGGCTGCCGGGCCAGAGTGCTACTGTCTCGAGAGAGCTCTTCTCGCATCACCGCGCACACATCTCACATGCGCCAAGCCGGCCAGATGCCATGCGAGCGGAGGGACGGGCCCAAGCCGCGCGGCGAGGGGGTTCGGGTCAGGGTGCGGGTCGGGGTTCGGGGGAGGGGTAGGGGTCGGGGTAGGGCGAGTCCACGGACCCATCGACTGCAGCCTCGGCTTGAGATGCCAGCCAGCCTCGCCCACGGCCTGTTCACAGCAGACGGCGTGGAGAGCGTCTCTTCACAGCAGCGCCGGCGCCGGCAGCGAGGCGTCCGCCTCGCGAGCGGCTGGAGAGCGGCGTAGCTCGGTGGGCCACCTGCGGTGTGAACACAGGCTGTGGATGCGGGAGTGTCTTCGGAGCAGCGCGTGGATGCGAATACGGTTGCAGTGCGAATGCGGCTACAACGCGGCTGAATAAGCTCTCGAGTGCTAGTCGGAATGTACACGGATACGCGTGTCTTGCCAATCTAGGCTCAGCCACGCGCTCGACGTCAGGAAGAGCTGATGCCTCGCCACGCCAGAGGCGAGGGCGCCGCGGCCGGCCGCCTGCAGGAAGGCTCCGAGAAGGTTCGTGGAGGGTCTGGGCGCTGACCTGCAGGCTCACCCCACAAGGAGAGGGAGAGGGAGAGGGAGAGGGAGAGAGAGAGGGAGAGGGAGAGGGGGAGGGGGAGGGAGAGGGAGAGGGAGAGGGAGAATCAGAGCCGTGTGTCCGCCACTAGAGATTGGGGCTGCTGCCCTCGCCTGCTCTGTGCCGCGCGCGGCGGCGGCGTCGACCCAGCGCACCCTCGTGTGGCGCAGCACGCTGGCGTACAGCGACGCGTTCGGCTGCGCGGCGCATGCCGCCGTCGGCGTCAGCGAGAGTCGCGGCGCGCTGTGGTCGGGCGCGTCAAACAGCCACTCGTGGCCGCCATGGCAGCCTGCGGCGGTCCCGCCGGCAGCGGTGATCCCAAGCAGGGGCATCATGCCCCCGGTGGCGAGCTGGAGCCGCGCGCCGCTGTCGGCGGCGGCAGCCGTGCCGCCGCCTGCCGCCCGCAGCCGCACACGCTGCCTTGCCAGCAGCTTCTGGAGCGGGGTGTGCGCGAGCGGGCGGCCAGGGGCAGCCGCCGACGGAGCGGCCGCGGCAGAGGCGGTGCACTCAGCGATGAGCGCGTGCAGCCGCTTGGAGCCCGCGAGGCTGCGCGCCTTGGCTCTCTGCTTTGCGTCGACCCACCTGACGCCGTGAGGCGCCGTCAGCAGTACGAGCGCGACCCGCGTCCGAAGCGCCTCGACCTCCGGTCGCGCTCGCAAAGCCGAAAGCGCCCCGCTCGCAGAGCGAAGCGCGTGCGCCAGCGCCCACTCCTCGCAGTTCTCCTCCGGATCGCTGGCCGCGGCCGCCAGGCCGCCAGCCTTCCAGAGCCCCGCGACACGCTGAAGCAGGCTCGCGGCGCCAGCCCCGCCACCGCCGCACGTCCGAGCCGGGTCCGCGTGCCAGTCGAGGAAGGCGGAGGCGAGCGCGGCATGGGCGGGCGAGCAGGTCACGTTCGTGGGCGGCTTGGGCGGCGTCATGTCGGACCCCAACGTATTTTTTTCTCCTTTCTGCCCTGCTTTCTCTGTGGGTGTCCCTTGTCAGGAGCAGGAGAGGTCTTCTGATAAACGCAGTATGGAAGATACAAAGAGACGGAGGAGCAACGAGCGCCCTGGCGTGAGCCAAAGACACTCCCTCCGTAGACACTGATCACACACGGGTGGGTCACACACAACAACGAAGCACGAGAGCGTGCACGACAGAGCGACGGCGCAGCGTACTGCCGTCCAGCTAAAAAGCGGCGGCCGACGGTTGCTGCGCAAAGTGATCAGTTCTAAAATAGGTGCCGGGGCCCAACGGATAGATGAATCCGGGGCACCCTCCGCTCGAATCCCTGGCCAGGGGTTAAATAAATAAATAAAACGGGCAAACTCTGAGACGAGATGGGATTTAGGGACATGTGTCCCCGCCCTGCACGATCTTGGTGTGAGGGATCTTCAATCCGTGTCCCCTCACCCCTCGTCACAACCCGACACGGAAGACGAAGAGCGGCAAGAGTTGGGGCTGCGGCTACGGCTGCGGCTATGAGAGGGGCCGGGGTCGCGGGAGAGCCGCTGCGCCGCGTGGACGCGCCTACACCGCTCTTGCTCCGCTCGCCACCTCTCGCAAAGGTCCAAAGCCATAGCCACCACCTCCTCCGGCAAGTCCTTTCGCCGTATCTCGCCACCCAACATCACAGGTGGGATCAGAGAGAGACTCCACACCGGACACCGCCCGGGCACAGACTCCCTACCCATCGGATCGCACAGGGCCCCCTCGGAGCAGCCCACACACAAGCACGCATCGGCAGAATTAGTGCCTGAGTCAGGCAGACAGCACAGACAAGGAGAGGAGAGAGAGGAGAGAGAGAGAGAGAGAGGAGAGAGGAGAGGGTGAGGGAGTGTGCACACGTGAGGAGTGGGGAGGGTGTCTGTGGTGGGCTGTAGTCCTACTACGTGGTTACAACCACGCGCCCCTCGGGAGCTTAAGGTAGAGTGGAGCGCCCTAGACGCCTCGGTGCCTCCCACCGGCGTGAAGACCATCCGGATCTATCGGGTTCGCCCTCCGGACGGACCCGTCCCCGCGATGGCCCACGGTCCTCCGTCGCCTGGTTGACCCCCTGCCTCCCTGTTGACCCCCCGGTCCTCGTACTCGACCGTCAAATAAACTCAAAGGTCCACCACAGCCACCACCCTCCACCTCCACCGTCGAGCCGCGATCGCTGCCGCCCGCGACGCCGCCCGCCGCGTCAGATGCCCGCCACGCCCGCGGCGAGTCGAGTCGGAGAGCCGAGCCGCACCAGCAACAGCATCTGCACCAGCAGCAGCAGCAGCAGCAGCAGCAGCAGCAGCAGCAGAGCGAGGCGCCAATTTTGAGGTTGCCCGAGACAGCCTGGAGATGGCCCCGCGTTGTAGCCCCGGTGCCGGCGCCTCACATCTCAGCATCCAGGGCCCGGTTCCGCCGCGCAGTCGAGCAGCAGGAGCTCAGTCAGAGCTTTGTCGACAAAGAGCTTGATCAAAATTTCGCCGAAGAAGCGCCACCGGCGACACCCGGGATGAATCCGGACTGTTCACATTGTTCGGCACCGCGACGGCGAGCCGCCGCGGGCCCACAGGAGGGCTCGGAGCCGTGGCACCGGTCCGCGCCGCCAGCGGGGCGAGAGCACGAGCCTACAACCTGCCGACATGGCAGTTGCGACGGCGCTTTCACACACAACACTCTCTCTCTCTTTCGAACCGGAGAGGAAAAGAAATCCCCGGGCTAGGTGGAGGGCTCGGGGCACGCGCTCTGCCTGCCATGGGCATTTCGCGCGACTCGCAGCACAAGCGGCGGCTGACGGGCGGCAAGAAGCCGCACCACCACAAGAAGCGCAAGCATGAGATGGGCCGCCAAATGGCGATGACCAAGATTGGCGCGAAGCGCATCCACCCTGTGCGCTGCCGCGGCGGCAACATGAAGTTCCGCGGCATCCGGCTGGACACGGGGAACTTCTCGTGGGGGTCGGAGGTGTGCACGCGGAAGACGCGCATCCTCGACGTCGTCTACAACGCCTCCAACAACGAGCTTGTGCGCACAAAGACGCTTGTCAAGAGCGCCGTGGTGCAGATTGACGCGACGTGCGGCCGCCCACGCCCCCTTCCCCATGCCCCGCAGCCCCGCACGCCCCGCCGCGCTACCACCGCGCGCAGTGGCGCCGAGGCGAGGCCTGGTCGGCGGGTTGGCAAAGGGGCTCCCGGCGGGCCGAGCGGTCGGCGGGGGCGCGTGTGGATCAAGGACAGATGGATGTCGGGAGGGGCAGATGGGGTGGGGACCTGCTTCCCCCCAATCCGGGCAGTTTGCGCCGCTGCTTGCGCGCGGATCCCACAAAGGGCGGGGGAAGGGGGGGGGGGGCACAAAGTTGGGCGGGTCTTTGGGAGCGCAGCGCCGGCGAGATGCCGGTGGGGATCGCGGGAGGAGGCCACTGGCTGGAGGACTGCTCCCAGCCCATGTGCGAGATCACCGCATCCACCGCCGGCCCTTGCGCAGGCCGTTCCGGCAGTGGTACGAGGCGCACTATGGCGCGACGCTCGGCAAGAAGCGGAAGGACAAGGCGGGGGATGAGAAGGCGAGGGACCACCCCCTCCCGTCTGGGATAGCGCGCACACCCCGTCCCGTGTGGGCTGCTGTCCGCTCTGCCGGTTGCCACAACCCCCCACCCGCACCCGCACACCACACACACCACACATCACACACCCTCCCCGACCCTCCCCGGCCTTGAGCATGCATCGCCATCCTCATGCCCCTCCGCCCACCGCGGTGACCCCGCACCCCCACCACCACACCCCCACCACCACCCCCACACCCCCCAGGACGCGACGCCCGTCCAGCGGTCGAGCTCGGTGCAGAAAAAGATCGCGGCGCGCCAGGCTGAGAAGATCATCGACCCCAACATCAACTCCCAGTTCGACACGGGCCGTCTCCTCGCCTGCATCTCCTCGCGGCCGGGCCAGTGCGGCCGGTGCGATGGCTACATCCTCGAGGGCAAGGAGCTCGAGTTCTATGTCAAGAAGATGGCGCGTAAGAAGAAGTAGACACATGCCGCTGCAACTTCCGCCCCAGCGCGCCCATCTTGTGGTCGATGTGAGCTAGCTCGGTGGAGAGCGGCCGCAGGCCCACGGCATGTTGTGCGAGTATGTATGTAACTAGTGAGAGCATTTGGGTTTGGGGAGGGCGCGAGTGGGAGACTTTTCGGCGGGCGAAATGCGGCGGTTTGGATGCGTCCTCTTTTGGACGACCCTGTGGGACGACCTGTGCAGTGGGACGACCTGTGGCAGCGATCGATGCCGGCGCGCCGGACGCCCGGCCCGGCGAGGCACACGGGCGCCGGCATTTGCGGTCGACCAAATTTGGCTGCCCCCATCAAAGTTGACTCGTCTCCTTATAGATACATACATACTTTATACTCGCACAACGAGCCCCACGTTCTTGAATCTTGTGTAATTGAAATTGGTGTTCGTTCGGAACTCCCGCTTTGGCGAGAGACTGGGGAGGCGCTGCTCCGGCCGCTCCGCATCTGTTAAAAAACTCTCCTCTGGGGCGGGCCTGACTCTTGGCGATGTCTGCGAGATTCTCTCAGAATCTCACACGCGCATCGACCATCGTCTCTCAACATGAGTCTCGCTCTCACAAAATGCGGACGCTGTGCGCCAACTGCATCGAGGTGCACATCTCGTTTCGGGTCGGTTGCCGAATGCATCGTCGGCGTGAGCTCCTCCAGCGCCGCTCACCTCCCGGGGGGCGCCGTCCTCGATCGCACAATGCAGGATCAGAACATATAGCAGACAGACCTGCGCAAAGGCGCGGCGCAGGTTGCCAGAAGCTACTCTCTCGGACGAAGAGCTCGAGCACGCGCAAGTACTGGGCGAAAGTCGCGTTGATAGCCGCTGCCGTCCTCGACGCCCCGCAAGTCCTCCTTGATCTGCCGTCCGCCGCCGCCGCTCCTTGAACCCGGCTCGGCGGCCTCGAGGGGCGCGTCGGCGAGGCGGCGCTCGATGAGGCGCTGCGCTGGCTGGGCTGCGAGCCAAACGAGGCTCGCGCCGCGGGGTGGGCGGGCGGGTCCGCAGCCGCCGCGGACGACCGTGCCCGCAGCCCGCCGCCCCGCCGCCCTCCTCAGGAGCGCGAGGGCAGCGCGGTCCCGTGGATGGTGGAGTCACGTCCCCCCGCCGACGGCTCGCGCTCGGCTAGCCGTACTCGATGTGGGCATTGTGGAGGAGCGCGCTGCGTGCGTCGCGTGGTAGAGTGCCCAGACCCAAGCGTCCGCCTCCTACGATGCCAACTCGGAAGGGTGGTGCGGCGCCGCGCCGAGGCGTGCAGATGAGGGTCCCTTGGCACCTGCTGCGACGCCGCCAGCAAGCGGACGACTCGGCCGCGGGGCGAGGGCGCGCTGTCGACACGGGTGCGGAAGGCGCCACCCGCGTGGCCTACAGCAGGGGCCACCGTTGCGCGTCGGCCGTGTGCGGTTGCCTGGCCGAAGCCCGCGCTGGATCGGGTGCCGCCACCGACGGCCGACTCGAAAGTGAGCCGAAGGAGGAGGGGGTCCGTGGAGTCCTCGTCCACGGTGCAGCCGGCGAGGTGCCACGACCCACGCTGGCGCGGGAGGGGTGCCGCGTGAGACGCAGGGTGGCGGGAGCGTGCGCGGGGGGCTGGGGGGGGTGCGGAGCGGGCGTGCGAGTGTGCGTGTGTGAGGCCCGGGCCCACCTGGCTCTGCGCGCTGCAAGACTCGTCGGTGAAATAGCTTAGTGTGCCACCGGCCCCCAAGGCAAAGAAGCGCGACCGCCAGGCAGGGAGGAAATCCGCACGCTTCTGCGGCGCCACGGGTGGTCAGCTCAGGGCGGGCGGGGGCGCAGTGGGGCGCGAAAGCGGCCGCGGCGGCCGCGGCGCCTGCAGCCAGCCCGAGTGCCGCTCGTGTGGTAGCGGCCCGCGCGTCACCGCCCCGGCCACGAAGCGCTGCTCGTCGTACCTGTGCGCCGGGGCGGCTGGGCGTGGAGCGGCGCGCGCCGACCCCCGCAAGGCTCAGCGCTCGCACTTGGCGCGAAGCCAGATGCGCCGTACCGTGTCGGACGCGTCGGCCGCCGGCCGCCTCATCCTCGCCTGTTAACAGCGAGGTCGTTGCCACGCTGGTGGGCCGGTCGTGCGACCACAAGCGCGGGCGCCGGCAGCGCCGCCTCGAAGATCGCGTTGGACTTGGCATTGCCCATCGCCTACACAGCCGCCAACCGGCTGTGGTAAAGAGTGGATGGCCCTGCGATGGCGGCGTTCCGCACGCTGCTGTGCTCCTGCGCCCATTGAAGCTCGGCCTCGGAGAAGTCGTCCAAGTCGATGGACCGCACCTGTTTGCCGAGACGGCGGGCGCAGCGTCTCACGCGACCGCTGCCGTGAGGCGAGTGAGCGCGGCGGCGGCACGCCTTGCAGATGTGAGAGCCGAGTCCGCGGTGGCCGCCGGCGCACCGGATGCAGACGACCACGCCGTACTCGAGCACCAACCACTCAACCTGCGGCGCCGCGCACTCCGCGCACACCTCGTTGCCCCTCATCCGCCGGATGGCCGCTTTCGCGGCCGCGGATGCACCGGTTGCGGCCGACATTTGCAAAAAGAATTTTGGAAGGCGAAAATTTCGAGCGTCGGGCACGATTAAGATTCACACTCCCTTGGGTTGTCTGTTTTCTTTCTTTCTTTTCAGATTCACACAACAGGCAAAGCGCGGACGACGGCTTCTACTCGACGGACGGCTTCTACTAGAACTAGAGAAGCCCGTCGGCCAACAAAACAACTCAGAAGCCGCCTTCGGATTCGCAGTCATCAGAAGGCGGATGGTCGAATCCGCGAGCACCGACCGTGGTTGGTGCTCGCCGAGAGGACCTTTCCCCATCAAAAATAAAAATTGAATTGCCACCTCGCACACGCACACGTGCGATTCGAGTATGGCGGCGGCGTGCCGTCCTCCCATCGAGCAGTGCGTTGCCCACGAGTATCTAGATACCGGACTTTTGTATTCAGAGTTAATTTCAACCCCTGCCTAGACGAGTACAGCTAAAGAGTACCCGGGGCTCCCCATACGGGTTCCCCTCCCTGTGGGGGCCCGTGAACATCTTTAGCTTGTGAGCCAGGAAAAGGGTTGAGTTAATTTGGCATGCTAAAGGACTTACCTCTGCATTCTAAGCTTCTAATCCCGCCTTTGAGCACTTGAGCACTTGATAGGGTCGATCCGTTTTATTTTGAGCTTAGCCTTCGATGTTATGAAACAACGCAAGGCGGACATCTCATGGCATATCGCTCTCGGGCCCACAGACATCCCGCACACGTTTTATTTTAGCTTTCGTCCCCTGCTCGCCACCCCGACGCACAAGGCGCCCGAGTCGAACGACAGGCGGCACGCGAAGACTGATTAACCCTAAAAAACCCTGTCAGCAGTTCACCCTCGGGTATGTTCGTAAGAGCTTCATACATTAAAAAAAGGAAGAAATCATCTGCCTGTGGCGGGCCGAGTTTGGCTCGGCGCTACCTCCGTGGTAGCTGCAATCATGCGTGCATCACACATCGTCACCGCCCTCGCGACGTTCTGCCTCACACGCCTCATCGACCATCTCGCGACGCCGCCGGCGGGGCGCCATGATGCTCAGTCGCGGCATCTCGCAGAGGCGAGGGTCTCTGCGTCGGCTGCAGCTTCGGTGAAAACGCCGTGCCCGGTGCCGACGCCGTGCCCAGCGCCGACGCCGTGCCCAGTGCCGACGCCGTGTCCAGTGTCCAACGGCGGCTCGCCGCCGCCGTCCGTGCTTTCGACTGTCCGCGGACAGGTGCGCGCCGCACGTGAAAAGCCGGCCAACGGGTGGAAGACTCTGCCCGAGGCCGAGAAGCGGGCCTACATCGAGCAAAACTACGGCACAGTCAGCACGCCTGCGTATGCGCGACCTGCCCGGCGGCGTGAGGGGTGGTTTGCGGTAATCGGCTTCCCGGTGGGCATCAATGAGGCGAATCGGCAGCGGCGCGCGCTTCTGCGTGAGCTCTGGTACCCAGAGTACCCAAACCTGGCGCACGAGAGCGGCTCGGTCCGCGCCGAGTTCATCATCGGCCTCCTCACCTACCAGGGCGAGGGGCACGATGACTCGCTGGCGCGTCCCTCCCGCACGCACCACCCTCGCCCGCCCCACACCTCTCGCCGAAGGAGCAGCCTCCCGCCGGTGCCCCCGACGTCCGGCTCGGCGGCGCAGGTGGAGCAGCTGCACGAGGAGCAGATGGCGCACGGCGACCTCGCCCTCGTCAACGCGCGCGAGGCCACAAAGGACCCGTACCGCGGCGACCCAAAGTGCACCGGCGAGAAGATCCTCGCCTGGTTCCAGCAGGTGGTCGTGCTGCACCGCACGACCCGCTTCTTCCTCAAGGCAGACTGGGACACGTGGATCCACACGACGCGCCTCGAGCACACCCTGCGCACGCTGCTCGCCACGCGGCAAGGGCCGCTCTACTTGGGCAACACCCTCTGGTGCTCCTACTCGCTCCGCAACTTTCAGCCGTGCGGCTACGGCTTTGGGCCGCTCCAGGCGGCCGGCGCCAAAAAAGTCGAGTGCCCGCTGCTGCCGGGCGGGGGCGATGCGGTGGGGCCGTACCCGTACGCGGCGGGCCTCTTTTGGGGGATGAGCTACGACCTCGTCAAGTGGATCGCCGGCTCGCGGCTCGTGTACGACTTTTGGCACAACGCGTCGGCGCGCTTCGAGCCGCCGTATTGGGTCAAGGGGGAGGACTCCGCCTTTGGCTTCTTCGCGCACATCGCGCCCTTCCCGGAGCTCACACCGCTCCACTGGGGGTGGGACATCGTGCACGACGGGTGGGAGTTTCGCGACGACGCGGAGCGCGGGCTCTGCACGAGCTCGGTCAGCGCGAAGTCGCTCGTGGTGCACTCGATGCACTCGCGCATGGACTTTGAGCTTGTGCGCGCGCAGTTCCGCGAGCGCTGCAACGCCACGTGTGAACAAACAGCGCTGCCGTTCGCGGTCGATGGGCTGCGGGATCTATGCGGCCGCAATGGGAACATCCCGAAGGCCTACGCCAAGTGCGCAAACGCGGGGCACAAGGCCATAGACGGCCCACCCAATGACGTGCGGGTGCCGGCGTCGCGGCCGCGCCGCACCTGCAATAATAAAGTTCGTGAGAAGAACGTGCCCTTCATTGCAAGCAGAGAAGAAGGCGGCACGATCGAGTGCGTGGCCGAGCAGGCAAAGTCGATTTTCGCGTGAAGCGTGGCGCTCGTACCGTGTGTGTGAGGCTGAGCTGTGTTTTCACATGCACGACGTTGATTCTCTGTTTAAGCGCACCTCAATTCCCTCGCACGGCCCCCTTCTTTCCTACGGCTCTCAAGGCCTCGCGGTCCGACCCCGTTCGCCAAACCTCATGCGCCACGACTCACCCGCGAGCGTCATGATCTGCTGCTCTCTCACGTAGAGTAGCCCTCTCAGCGAGATGCGAACCCCTCGCAGCCGGCGCGTCCATCGCTCGCACACCGCCGTCGCCGCCCTAGCCACATCGGCCGCGGCGCCATGGTATCCTGGAGGGAGAACGACCACCCGAAGCAGCGAAGCGTGGATCAAGCCGGAAGTATGCCGCGTGTTGCTTGGAAAGGCGCGGCCCGCCGCCGCACGCAGTGCCTCGACGCATGCGCCGTTGTGATCGGGCAGGAACAGGAGGAGGAGCACGCCTCCAGAGGTGATGACGAAGCGGTCAACCAGGAGGGTGAGGTTGGCTGGCACCGATGCGGCAAGACGTTGCGCGAGCTCAAGCTCGTGGTGCAGCGCCCTCGGGCTCGGGGTGGGCGGTGCGCTATCGCGGCTCGTCCCTGGGGCGGCGCCAGGATGGAAGAGCGTCACGTGCAGACTGCGCAATGAAGGCGTCCAGCTTTGCGTGCCCATCGGCAGCACGCCGGCGAGCTCTTCCGCCGCTCGCAGCGCGAGGCGGCTCAGCCGACGTGCAGCTGCGTCTGACAGCAACTCGTCGGCGAGAGGCAGCGCCAGCACGCGCACACTGGACGGCGGCAACCGCCACGGCGCGTCTGCATAGTGGCGCGGCAGTGGAGGCTCGCCAGAGAACATCCGACTCGCCCTTGTCATACCGGGCTCCGAGAAGCCGACGCTGGCAAGCTGCATTTCGAGGGAAGCGTGGGCGTCACGCAGCGATTCGAGGCTGGTTCTGGGAGCCGAGAAATTGGCGACCCAGGGCGACGTGCCGTGTGCAGAGTGTGCCGATGTGGGGGGGCGCATGGGATCGTCCTCCTCGCCCCACCGCCCGCCAATTTAGTCACGCGCGGCAGGTCTCCGCCGTCGCAGAGCTCCATAACGATGTGGAGACTGCCCGCCTCGATGAAGCTCTCGAGGTAGCCGACCACGTTATCATGCCGGATCGACGCAAGCAGCCGCACCTCGCTTAGCACCGTGCGCTGTGTCAGCTCCTGCTGGTCGTCAAAGCCGCAAATCTCCTTGAGCGCCAGCGCGTCGCCATTGGAGCGGCGCCGCACACGCCAAACCTTTCCGGAGGAGCCGCTGCCGAGAGGCGCCTCGAAGGAAAAGTCCTCGCGGACGGACATGGCTGTGTGCCGTGGTGCTCTAGGCGTATGCTGTGGGCGTACAGTAGGGCTGCAGACCGACGTTGAGATCTTGGCGGGCGTTTCATAGCGCGGGGGAGGGGGAGGGGGAGGGGGGGGGCGACTTGACGCCGGTCACCGGCCTCACCGCTGTCTTTGACTTTCTGTCCGCAGACCTGTGCATAGGGCATGCAGCAATGACGAATGAGCAAAAGGTGTCCCAAAATATGCACGATAATTCATTTTCATACATCATAGCACGGCGGCGCGCGGAAAGGATCAAGCAATGCTGCGCATTTTTTCGCCGTTAATCCAAAAAAAGAGGTTAAATTCAGTACAAGCGAGCTCAAGGTCTGTCCTCTGTTTTGTGGATAGTGCACTCTCGGTCTCGCCCCTCGCAGCGGCGCGGGGCCGTGTCACCGCTTCTCGGCACTCTGCTTCTTACTACCCCCGGATCCCGAGCGGCCGCAGGTGTGCCTCACGTGGCGGCCGTTGCACGCCTGGCAGTGCGGCCTCGGCTCGCCTCCCGCTGCCGCTGCCGCACTCGGCGCAGGAGCTACCACCGCAGGCGCGGGAGCTGCCGCCGCCGGCGCGGGAGCTGCCGCCGGCTCATCGGCAGGCGGCGCGGCTGAGCCCTGGGACGAGCTCGCTGCGCCGCCCAGCCGGTCGAGTAGCACGTTGTACTGCCGCACGAGCGACAGCTTGCCCTGCCGGGACTCCGCGGCCTCCTCCGCCGGGAACTCGACATCGGCAATTTTGTTCTCGAGGGCGCACTGCTGGAGAAAGTCCTTGAACCGGACATTCCGGCGCTCGAGGAGCAGTAGCATCGCGTACTCGCGGACGAGGCCCTCGCGCGACCTCCGGGTTGTCGGCCGCGCCACATCGTCGGCCACCTCGCCCGGCCGGCCGCGCTTGCGCCCGCCCGCAGCGTTGCAATCGTCGAGCCATCGCTGCTCGTAGGTGCGTGGGTCGGTGCGTAGGTCTCCCGCGCTCTTGCCGGACACGGTGCGCCTCGGGTCAGCCATCCTGCAGGAGCGAGGAACCGGGGGCGCGTGGAGGTGGCGCTGACAAAAAGAATTTTAGAACCACAACAAAACTCCCTCGCACAACACTGGGCACGGGACTGGCGCGCACTGGCACGAACACAGGTTTTAGAATGAGAAACCAGACATGTAAGAAAGCAAAGAGTTAAAAGGCATTTTACTACTAAGCTCTCTCTCACAACACCACAACAACATACCTAAAACCAAAAACAGAGACATACCTACTCCCTACAGAGACCACAGGCACGGGACTCCGAAAAGAATGTAATATGGGACGTTGAGATTCGCGTCGGAGATCAACCGGCGTTTTTCAGATTACCCGTTTTTATCTGAACTTATGTGCGCCCGCGCACGCACGACTCACGCAACAGAGACAAGGCATGTATGTATCGAAGGTGCCAGAGGTGGACGGACGGAAAAACACCCCCCTTCTATGCCTGACCCTGGGCATGCCTCTCTGGGTGTGAGCTGGGTCGGCCACCTCCGGGTCTGCAACTCGCACGGTGGGTCCGCTTCCGGGCGAGCATCCGAGGCCTGCGGTTGTCCCTTCGCTGGGCGCGACCGCCATGGAGATCCGCTACACACAGATCAGTGTTTTTGGCGACTATTGCTCGCTCTCTGTGCAATCGCAACGCCAGAGGCCGTGCTTGGAGAATGGGTCGCGATGCTGCTGCGCCAGTGGATTGAGCCGCTCCGCACACTCCATCGGTGAGCTGCGGTGGCGCGCCGGCCGCTTCATGCATGCTCTCGGGCGAGCTGCCGCAAACGCGTCTTCCGTCCGCCCGTTTCATCGAGTTTGCCCGAGTGGTAAAATGCAATCGAATTTGCCCGAATGGTAAGGTGCAACTTTTGCATTTGGTAAAAGTTGCCCGAGTGGTCAGTGGGAAAAAAACCAAAGCGGAAATGTGGCCCCAAGAGCTAAAGGTCAACATCACCTCCGGCTACGACAATGTGAACCTGATCTGGTCCTCACGGGGTTGACCCGTCTCCTCCAGATCGAGACGGACTTCATGAACGGCCGAGCATTATTTCTTCACTACTATTATTAATTGATGCTTTTTGCACGGCTGAGCCCCCCCCCCCCCATCCCCCGCGCCCATTCCCTGCCCTCTCCCGCCACACACTCCGTCAGAGTCCCCTCCCCTCTTGCACAACAGGAATTTTGACAATTAACCAGTGATGCGCGGCGCTGTCTCTCAAGATGGAAGCAGGAAGCTTCCATCCCGGCGGTGGTTCGAATCCACACGAGCCGAAGGGTGAAGGGGGAGGCAGGCCCGAGGTCTGAAGCTCACCCATTGTGGAAGTGAGAACTGCTCGACCCACCCCTGATCCTGCTGAACAAGCTCCTCTTGTAGCTCGATCGGTCACACCGCCATCGCCGTCGGGGAGAGGGGGGACGATACTGCCTCGGCAGCGTGCACCTCGATCCTGTACCGTGTTTGTTATGACCCCCCCCAATGAACACACCAGTGAGGGAGGGCGAGACGATCGAGGGGTCCCGTACCATGCGGAACCGACCCTATCCAGTGCTCAAGTGCTCAAGAACAGCTCTACCCTCGGGCGTCTACCAATTCCTATCTCTCTCCGCAGTTTATCACCAATTCTTGCAGTGACCTTCATGCCACCTCGTATTCTTCTCACTCTCGTCGTTCTCTCTCCTGCTGTCTCTTCCCCTGACTCATCGCTCTCCTCGGCCTCGTTCTGAGACGCCGCTGTCGTCTGCCGATCTCTTGCTCTCGCTGCTTCTCTCGCCTTTCTGCGTAACTCCGCTCTCCTCTCCGCGTATTTTGGTCCCTCGAGTTTATCGAGCATTCCTCGCGCAAGGACCACATTTCTGACTCCCACTGCGATCATATCCCGCCCTGTCATGTCGTTGCTCAGGTCCACTCTCGTTTCGAGCACTTGTACCTCAACGGTCGGTGTTGGCACTGGGGTTCCCTTCGGTAGCGGGAAAGGGTGGCAGGCGCTAAAATTTGTAAAATTCTTTTTAGACCCGGGGGCGGCCGCATGCAGCACACATACATGCGCCTTCCCCTCCCGCCGCGTCTTTGGCTGGCCGCTCCCGCCTCGGTCTCCATGAGCCACATCTCCATGAGCCACTCCGATGCGGAGCTGGCCTCGCTCACCGTGGCTGCGCTCAAGGAGCGTCTCCGGGAGCGTGGGCTGCGAGTCTCTGGAAGGAAGGCTGATCTGATCGAGCGGCTGTCTGCGCCGTTGTCCTCGCCTTCACCAGGGCCGCCGCCGCCGCTGCCGCCGCCGCCGCGAGCTCCGAGGCGGCCGAACAGCGCCCGCCCGCCTGTGCCCATCGACGCGACGCCTCGAAAGGCGGGCGCCGTAGGGCCTGGCGCCCGGCGGCTGCGCGCCGCCTCGTGGAACGTGGCTGGCCTGCGAGGGCTGCTGCGCCGCGAGGAGGGGCGGTCGACGCTGCGGCGGCTGGTCGACGAGGAGGGCGTCGACGTGCTGATGCTGCAGGAGACCAAGCTGCAAGAGAGCCACGTGGCGGAGGTCGAGGCGGCGCTCTACGAGGCGCTGGGCGGCGGCGAGGCGTGGCGCGCGGCGTGGGCATGCTCGACGGCGCGCAAGGGGTACGCGGGCGTGTCGACCCTGTGGCGGCGGCGCGTTGGGGACGCCGCCTGCCGCCCGCTCTCAGTCGACCCGG